CCTCTCCATCCCCACCAGACCCGTCTGCAGGACCTGACTGGGGCCCTATGGGTGACAAGGATTGTGTATAGAAACTCTGAAAGGACAGATGGGAGGAGGAAAAGCAGCAGACAAAAGCATAATTTACACAGACACAACTAAAAATGTAAATACGAGCTATGGCTAATCCAGGAAGGCATCCCAGGAAGGCATCATTTCAAGACACTCTACTACCTCGTTTACTTTTCATAACAATGCTGTGAGGTGGGGGCCATTTTATCCCCACTTTAAAGATTAGGAAACAAACTTCACACATTTTTGAAAATAGGTTAGCTGGGATTCAAACTCAGGGTCTGTCTCACCCAAGCCCCATGCTGAGCCTCAGGAAACACCAGATCCCAGCGGTTTCTCGGCTATTGCGATTTCGCCATCACCCAGCTCCCACCACCTGGGACCTGACTTCTGACTTGGCCTTTCTTCTTGGCTCACTGCAGATCCCAAGACTTTCTACTCCTTCCCACCATGCGATGCTCTTCCACCCACTCTTGATGTCTTTGGGCCCTGGTCTCAGGGACCCCGGCCTGGTTGACAGCGCCTCCAATCAGCTCCCCCACCCAGCAGAGGCCGAGCTCCCGAAGCTTACTAAAAGGGACAGCTGAGCTGGGCTGCCAGCTCCGGGGGAAATCCCTGAGGGGCCTCAGGACGAGCCAGGGAATGGAAGCCAGGTTGTGCCTCCCTCACACTTACTGGCTGAGGAGCAGAGAGAAGGCTGGGGCTGCATGCCTGCAGAGGGGGCTGTTCTGTCCCGGGAGCTCCGTCCTTCAGGCACCGAGCTGCCATTCCCAGTGCGGAGCGGGGCAGCTAGCCAGCCAGGGCAGGGCAGGGCAAGGCAGAGCAGCCAAAACAAACAGAACAAGGCAGGTGAGCGAGCAAGCCGAACAGGACCCGAGCCCGTGGCACTGCAGAGCCGGAGCAAGGCGGCGCCTCGGGCTGCTGTGGACACTGGACCACATCCCACGCCGCCACCTCTGCCAGAGAGGCCTCCCAGCCAAGAGCCCCAGGAAAGTGCACAGGCCTGGGCTTGTGGCTTCCAGAGGAGCCTTCACACAGCCTGTATGAGGGTCCCTGCTCCCAGAAAAGATGTTTTAGGGGGCTAAGCTACAAGGTCAAGAGCCCAGCAGTGAAGGAGCCGCACACTCTGCCAGCATCACCAGAACTAAACTGATCTGACCTTTATCCCAACAGCCTGGAGCTACTGCTCTTTACTGCCTTATACATTTATGCTATTTTCTGGGTTCTAAAAGGTCTGGTGTCCCTTACTACCCCTGGGCATGCTCTCTCAGCTCTGTCCTGCAACACTCCTCCATCTTTTCTGAAAGCCTGGCCTAAGGTCACTTACTGAGGCAAAGGAAACAATTCCAGGAGGCCAAACCAAAGAACAGGACAGAGATTCCCCGTGGTCTGGCCTGCCATGCCCTCCCACATCCCCTGGCACTTTGGCCAGGCCCAAGCCTAGGCTGGTGATCCTTAGAGCATCACTGGGACACAGCCAAATGTGCTTCATCTCCATTGTTCATGCCAGGGCTTTGTGAAGAGCATGACCAACTCAGCCCAATGTGCTGGGCCTGTTCCGGTTTTAAAACAGAAAATTCCACATCTTGGGAATCACCTCAGTCCTAGGGAAACTGAGACAATGGTCAGCCTACTAATATTTGTAGGCTCACCGTATTTGTTGGCTACTTCTGCAGGGACTCATGGTGTCCCTGTTCTGGGATGTCACTTCATTATCTCCAACAGGAACAGTTCTCTGAGCCGCGGCCCTGGATAGGCTCAGGAAAAGCTCTAGTTTAGCTATTCCAGACTTGGGGTCAAAGAAGAGACACCTCTTGCCTACCCCAGCCATGACAGACAGAGGCCTCACATCTTGGTCCACGGAAAGTAGCTTTATGCCAAGCCCTCTTCTGGAGTATAAGGAGGCACTGATCTCAGTTCTGGGGGCAGACAAGGCAGGTGCTCCACTGGAGCGGAAGTACCAAGGACACTGCTGGCGTCCCTTCCCCACCAAGGGCCAGCACCTACCTTTGAGGTCCTCATCTTCTGTGGTGGTGTTGCAGCTCTCTGTGGAGCCCTGTAGGCAGAAATGAACATGTTTTTAAATATTCAGGCCCTTAGAAAACCAAAGGAACCAAGCAGAACAAAAGCAGAGTATGTGCTCCTACAGGAGGCACAAGTAGGAATCATAGAAAGTTCTATTTCTACCCTTGCCATCTGACTCTTACAAAACTCAGAATTCCCAGACTCCCTCCCTAGTGTTCCCCAACTCAGTAAGTGGCACTGTCTGTGCCATTACTTGGGCTAAAACCTAGAGTCATCTCCTAGGTGTGATTTGAGGTAGATTCTTCTCTTTTTCTCCTATCTCAATTATCCAATCTAAAATCAAACCTGTCAGTTCTACCTCCAAAACAAATCCCATCTTACCTCCTGTCTTCAGCCACAACCTGAGTCTAAGCTCCCGACACCTGGCGCCTGAACTACTACAATCACTTCCTGGCCTCCCTGCCTCCACACTTGCCCCCGATGACATGCATGGCCAGAGTGGTTTTTCAAGGAGTCCGTAAGACTCTATTACTCCCCTGCTGAGAACCTTCAACAGCTTCTTGTGGCTGCTGGAAAAAATGCAAACCCAAGTCCCAAACAGCAGGCCCTGCCCGCTTCTCCAACCCCACCCCCTCCTGCCGCCCCGGTCCCAACCCCTTGCTCTTCGGATCTCATCTCTGCTGGATTTCCCCCATCGTTTTCTTCCTTCCGGACGCACGCCAAGCCCCGCACGTGCAGTTCCCTGTCTAGGGCCCTCTGCCCGAGTTCACCTGGCTGTCTTCCTCCTGTCTGTGGTTCAAATATCACCTCCTGAGGGAGGATCTTCCCTGACCCCGCAATTAAAGGCCCTGTTCACTCTTTCTTTACTTTGTACCATTTTCTCCATAGCACTTATCACAACTGGATTTTATCTTGGTTATTTGGTTTCGGTTTATTATCTGCCTCCCCCACACCCGTGGAGAGGGATTTTGTCTCGTGACTTCTGTAAACCAGAGGGATGGACGGTTTGTCTCAATGCGTATTTGCTACTGGTGGTGGAAAGGAGATAAGATTATTGAGGGAATGAAGGTGAGACTAAGGAGAGTGCCCTAGGGTCTGATTATAATCTCACTCTGTTTTTCTAGCTAACATTTATTCTCATTTAATCTTCACAAGCCACGGAGGCAAATCCCATTACTATTATTCCCACTTTACAGATAAGGTAACGGGTGCAGAGCAGCAGTGTGTTGTCTGGTAGCCCAGGGCCAGGAGTCTAATCTAGGCCTGCCTTGACTGTAGAGCCCGAGCTCAGAATCATGAAGGACAGGATAACAAACAGCCTAGACTCTGCAAAGACCTTAGCCTCTGTGTACAGCCTGTAGGTTGCCATCTGCGGGGCCCCCAGAACCTGCAACCCAGCCCACCAGCTTCCTGCTGACACGGAAGGCAGGAGACAGGCTCAGGAGCCGCTCACCTTGATCCCATCGGTAGCGTTGTGCACCACGGTGGTTTGTGGCTCCTGTGAGAAAAGGTGAAAATTACTGTCCTGACCTTGGGGACAAACTTACTGCTCTCCCCTGAGGGACCCCCACCCCTACCCCAGTACCCTTAGAGACCTTGATGATGACCACTGGGGCCTGCCCACCAGCCATTCTCACAGGACAAAATATCCTGATTTAACTGGGTCCTTGGTAGCTGGGAAGCCCCAGATAATTTAGGGGGCAGCACTGGCTGGTAAGAAAGAGAGGCCTGGCACTTAATGGAAGCAGGTATCAGGGAAGCTGAGAGAAAGAGGGCCTCTTTCCCTGATACCCACAGGTCAAGTACACCGGAGGAGCTAAGGGCTAAGGGCACAGGCTGGGCCCTGCCGACAGTGTTCATCAAGGGGTATTCAGGAAGCAAGGAGAGTGGACTGAGGTCTCCCAGAAAGACCCAGGGTGCCCCCTCAGCAAGCTGAGCCCAGGGAGCTGCCTGCTTCACCCACCTCTGCCTTCCCCAGAGCTCCTGTCCCTATATCACCATGTCAGGCAGCACGAGGGTCCACGGAAAGCAGGAGCAGCAGGCACAATTACCCTTCCCTCTTTCCTAGCCATCCCCCGGCTAGGAGGATGGGAGCTCTGAGAGCACAGTGCCCCTTAGACAAGCCCCGAGAGAACTCAGACAGCATGAGCAGCATGGGGCTCTCCAGAAACCCAGCGATCAGCACCATCCAGGGGTAGGGGACCCCAGCCCTTCTTCCTGTTCATAGCTTTTCAAAGGAAAGGCTGAGATCGATTTTATAAGGAGGTCTCCAAAAACTGATGTACAGGTCCCAAGAAAGCTCCTACTCTCTCCTTTTATAAGCAACCCACCTTCCTGGCTCCCGCAGCAGACCCACTGGGGGCTCAGCTGGGGGCTGGGAGGTTTAGCCGAGAGCCCTGATCCCTCTCCCCCCCAACAGCGAAAGGAGCAGGAGCAGCAGTTCTGCCGTGCGGGAAGGAGCATGGTCAGGTGGGACCATGAGGGGAGAAGGGGCCTATGGGGCAGAACACAAAGCAGCCTGATCTACAGGGATCGAGAAGGGAAAAGGGCCAAAGAGGCCTGGGAGGGAGGGCAAGAAGAGGAAGCGGGCAGGAGCAGGAGGCAGCCAGGGGCAGGGGCGGAGAAGCCGTAGTCAGGAGGTACCATGGCCGTCTGCAAGGGCGCGGGCTCTTGGACTGGGCTTACGAGACTGTTTTTGTTGTTGCTCTGTGGCTGAGACAAGAAAACAGATGGTTTAGTTCCTCTAGAGTCACCAAAGCAGCTCAGGTTCGACTCCCAGACCTCCCTTTGCCCCCTGGCCTGGCCTGGAGGAGCTAGGGCTGAGGTGGCCTCCATTACACTATGCGAATGGGAGCAATGGTTGGAGAGATGAACGACGGAGGGAGTATTTGGAGGGGTCCAGAGACTTAGCTCTGGAAGCATCCTCAAAGTGGGACCAGCCCAAAGACTGTTTTAAAGCATCTCTCCAGAACTCTCTGCCTCAGCCAGATGCCATGTCACCGCACAATCATACTTTACCCAAAGAAATGCAGGATCTCCTTCTCCCTTCACAAGGGGAAAAGGAAGGTGGCTCATAAGAACACAGAACAAAATCCAGAAACGCTGGGTCTCCTACGTGCGGGCAGTCTCCTGCTGCCCCTTTAACCTGCCATCTGCATTTCCTTCCCTCAAACCACCACCTTAAAGCCTGATTTGAAAGTAAGAGGAACAAGAAGAGAAAGAAAACCTGGCCCAGAGGAAGGTGTCCAGAGAGGAAAGGGGTGGAATGTGGCTTTGCTTAGAATACGCGTCTACTGACCCCAGGGAGCAGAGACGGGAGCGTGCTGTTGGCCTTCCTGCCTGGTAAATCTTGGACTTGGTCAGTTGTCAGTGAGGGCAGAGCTCCAAAGAGGGGCAGGTGAATCCAGGTGGGGGCTGTGGCCACAGTCCCAGAACCCAGCCCCCAGGAAAGAGTAGGCTGACATGTAGGCCAACATTCCTAACAGCACAGACCATCAGGATATCTCCTTGTCTTTCAAAATGTTACACTGAGTGGCACAGCAAGAGAGGTTGGGGGGAGGATGGCAAGGAAGGAAGGAGGCCCATCTCGAGGGCAGGGAGTCGTATTGACGCTCTCTGCCTCTTACGATCCCGTAACCAGTGGACTCAGTCTCACTGGGAGCCCAGTGGCGCTGGTGGCCACTGAGAAGCACCTGATGCCTGTGAGTTCTTCAAAAGGCACAGAGACAAATGCATGGCTACCATCTCTGCCCAAGGCACAAATGAGGACACACCTAGGAAGCTCTCCACGCTGATTTTTTTTCCTAGCCTGGAGGCCTTTTCTCCAGCCCGTTGGACCAGACCTGAAGCCATCCACCCTTAGCTTGCTGAGGCATCCCCTAACCCAGGGCTAGGCATGGAACCTCAAACCGGGAACCAAGTGCTACAAGACTCCACTGAGCTCTGCAGGCTGGAGAAGAGGGGTTCCAGGAGTAGTCAGGACATGCGTCTAAATGCCCGTGAGCTCCGCTCTCTTCCATTTCCACCAGGAAGGAGCAGAGCCCTCCTAGCTCAGCCGTTGACACTGACCTCCTGTGTGGGGCTGATTGCATAAGCTTGTCTTGCCTGCAAAGCCCAGCTGAGACAAAGACCCTGGCACGGTGTAAGGACTCCAGGGTGCTTGTAAAACCTGTCATATCTGTGGAGGGCTGGGATGTCACCCAGGTTGCTCCACCTCTGACTTTACTGGATCGTTTCATAATAATTCAGGATGCTGTGTTCCTCTTGATGCCATGTGTCCCATGAGAAAGAAGATGCGTTCCCGCCCTGGCCAGTGTAGCTCGGTTGGAGTGTCATCCCGTATACCAGAAGGTGGCGGGTTCGATTCCCGGTCGGGGCACATACCTACATTGCGGATTGATCCCTAGTCCGGACGCATGTGGGAGAAAACCGATGTTTCTCTCTCTCTCCCTTCCTCTCTCTGTGAAATCAATTAAAAACATGCCCTCAGGTAAGGATAAAAATAAGAATAAAAAAATTCATTCCTGTTGTCTTTCAGCTGTTCCCCAAGGGCTGGGTGGGAAGGATAGAACACTGGGCTCTGCTAATGGGGACTTGCACGTGGGAAAAGGCCCCGAGAGGAGGCTCAGAGCCATGAGCCTTCAGCCAGCAGCTCTGCCCACCACACAGACTCCCACCAGCTGCCAGTCTGTAGGAAGTGGCTGTTCATGCCCTGGGAGCAGGGCCTCTCCTCCTGAGCAACACTGAGTGAGGGTCTCTCCCTGTGCTTGCCACCTGGCTCCGAGACCCTGCCAGCTTCACTTCCTGCCCTGGGCTGCTGGAGGCAGTCCAAGCTCTGCAGCAGGGGGTGCCATGCCACACATTCCAATGCCCACTTTTTAGGCCACTGGGGGACTTTGGGCAATGGCCCTCGCCTGGCAGGACAGGCCGCACCAGCCCGCACAGCACAGACATGCAGTGAGGATGAGTGAAGCACACGCACATGGCAGAATGGGTTTGCGTGGCTGGCAGGTGGCGCAGGCAGCATGGAGTGGGCGGATGGGTGGGCAGGCAAGGCTCACCATTAGGTGCACGCTGGAACTCGACTTCCTTTTCTGGACACACCACAGCAAAAGGGAAAGAGAACAGGAAATAGGAGGTAAGAAGAGAAGCACAGAGACGCTGCAGGTTAGTGCACCAGCGTAGGCTCTGCCTCAGGAGAAAAGAGCAGAAGGAGAGCTGGAGTCCAGCACACAAGGCTCCAGAGCCTGGGAGAGAAGAACTCCTTTGCTGTCAGGTTCACAAACACAGATTTAGTATATTCAGAGATGTCTCAGCCTTGCTCAGAGAAAGCTTCTTGAGGAGATTAAGCCACAAGCCTGGGAGGGTAAGTAACATTTTGCTGCAAATTTATAGGTTTGGGCTAATAAAACTAGCTCACCTATAAGGTTAATTATTTTCTCTCATTACTAGGTCTGCCTGAAATTCAGGGTAGCAGCCACCAGGGAGATGACCAAAGATACTCTAGGCCATCCCCAGATTAATAACATTTGATTTCTGAACCTCGACTTTTTTCGCTGCCCCCTCACCCTCACTCCGCCCAAACTGCTTTTGGATGAAGATGTTGAGCTTTTAAAAATTATCTGACAAACAAATTCTGGCCTCCCTTTCTTTATCAACCCTCACTTACACGATTTCAATGTTTTATTTCATTTTGCAATTAGTGGGAAATGGGAAAAGAGGAGTGCTGGTGATTAAAAGTCCAGTGATCACAAGGACACAGAGATGCAAACCACAGGGGATGCTGAAAGCAGTGATTTCTCGGCCTTAACCAGGTGCTCATGGACTTTATGTTCAGATGTGAAACAAGAGCATAAAAATAAAGACCACACCGAACACCGAAAGTATATTTCAGAAGACTGTGTCTGAAAAGTGAGAGGTAATTAAGAATTTTATAATTAGCTTGCTGGGAGACAGAAGTCCCCTTGGACCATGTCTGTCTGCTGTTTGACTACTGCATATAGTCATTTAACGATATCCAACAAGTACTTAATGAGGGCTGTTCCAGGCACAGTGAACATGTCAGATAAATGTTCCTTCCCTCAAGAGGCTGACACTCTATTTTGTTGTTGTCAAATGATCTTTAATGGAAACATTTTCTTAACCAGCTGGGCATTCACTGCACCACTGTTGATGTCATCTATGATGTCATGAGGGTGGTGGCCATCAACACTGCAGCCCATAGTCTGGGCAGTCGCCAGGATCTCTTTAATGGTTCCAGAGAGTTCTCTAAATAACTAAAGATGTGTGCCACAATCTCATCAAAGTGGTATTTCCACTGTGCTTAATGTTTTTGCTCTTTTCTGTCTCGTGGTGGTTCTCTGAGGGCTCTGATGATCAGGGCAGAGGCAGAAGGTACTAATTCAATCTGGGCCTGTCTGTTCTGAATGGCCAGTTTCACTATAACCCTCAGACCCTTCCAATCACTGGTTGCCCTTTTGGAGACGGACCCAGGGGGCCAATCTAGGGGGCCAGGACAGATGTGGCACTGACTCCCCCACTGGTGCACCTCAGGTATACCTAATTTTGATTTTGTTGGGGTTCAAACTTCAGTGGCATGGTGGAGGCGGATGGTGTAGGATGAACCCACATTCGGGATAGCTGAACAAAGTTGCACCTAAGCCTCCTTCAAGCCAAAAGACTGGAAGACCCTTCGACTACATCAGATATGCTGACACTCTACTTTAGAACACATTTTGGGAATGTATTATATTAAAAAAAGAAGAGGGCCACAAGTATTTAAAAGAACGGTCCACAATTTAGAATTAGATCTAAAGAAAAAGAAAGCCTAAATATAATTAGGACCCTTCTGCATTAGCCTTTCATATATGCCCAAATATAATATAAGATTTTACTTTCAAAATCATCCCTCAAAAAGAGTAGCCTTACATTCACACTTATTCCTTCCCTTTATGCAACAAGAACGTTAACACTTTGAAGGAAGGAGGCCCACATCTTATTATCTTTGTAATCTCCATGGTGTCCAGCAGAATGTCTTAAAGTCAGCATTCGACCAATAAGCATTTACTGAGTTGAATGGGTTTGCTGACTGGCTTTTCTCCAGGCAAAAGCAGAGCACAGGTTTCTGACTTACCCAGAATCAGATCAGTGAAACTCTGCAGGGGCACAAACCAGGCTCAGTCTTGGTTCTTGTGATTTTTAGGGGCTTGCCGTCAAAGGTTATTGCAAGTTGCTTTTACCTGGATCTTGCCTCAGGGAGGGCACTTTCAGTTATCTGCTTCACTTAAAGGGGAATAAGTTCCCAATTTTCTCCCAGCTGGCTCTTTTTTCCCTCAACTGTCTTGCATGAAAACCTGAGATAATCCTTTCCTACTGAGAGTTAGTTTCTACTAGGTGACAGGACTTCTTTCAATTCCTCTCTCCGTCCTTTTGGGGTTTTGCGCTCAGCCATGCACAGCCAGCACACTGCAGCACTGTTTAAGCACCAGCTCATTTCTAAAGACCTACATCTTGCTTATATTTAAAAATTAAATATTTATTTAAAATTTTAAACCAGAAAAGGGCTCAAGCCTTCTTTCCACACTTAAACAGATATTCAAGCAGTACTTAAGGCAATACCTATATACTTTTTTCTTTCTTTTTAAATATTGGATGGCCATTCTGGCCTGGGACTTGCAGAGGTTCAACTAGGAACCTCTAGGGCTCTGAGAGTTTGTGGCCTCTCACAAATGGCTCTCACTCTTCCACAGACCCTGGGTCACTGGCATCCACATTCAAAGAAACCTAACTAGAACCTGAAGTCTCCAAACTCAAGACCACAAAGTGGACTCGCTGCTCAAATTGATGCTAGTACTCGAGCATCTTGTGGAAGCTTCTGGACAGTGAGAAGGAAACCACTCTGGACCTTAGGCAGCAGGAACTGGGGAAGGAGGAGCCTGGGAAGGAAGACAGGGTATAAGAGAAAGATCCAAGATGCTGACAGCTCGGGACCCTCTGAGCAACTTCATAGGCCTCCTCACAACTCAGGTTATCGCCTCAGCTTCCAAGAGGGACCAGAAAAGTTGAACCCCACACATCTTGCTCTCATCCAATCACGTCATTACTTGTCATATACTTGTTCCTGATTATAAAAGGACTGCAGCCACATTATAAGCAATTTGGAAAACAGAAAACATCCATAATCCTGTCACCCTTGCCAGTCTTTTTCCTTATACAATTTAAAAATAAATAGATTTTTATTCTGATTATCAAAGTAATGTACCATCTAGCTGAAAAATGTAGAAAATACAGAAAAATGTATAAAAGTTTCCCAAACTCCCATCACCCAGTGTATTAACACTTCAGTATGTTTCCTTCTAGTTCATTTTCTATCCACATATTATATACTGAATATAATCTACAAACACATTGTTTTTTAAAACAAAATTTAGATAGTCAAGTATGTACTGCTTTATACCCCACTTACTAGAAAATGTTTCTGTCATTATATAGTCATGACAATTAACTCGGTAATGCTCTATTAAGGACTTCCCATAATTACTCAGTCATTATCTTACTGGCTATTGAGATGGTCTCCAATCTTTTCAGTTATAAATAACATCATGTTGAACATCTTTCTTCTTTCAGTTTTTCCATATTTTGAATTGTTTCTTTAGGATAAATTCCCAGAAGTAGAATTAACGTGTAAAAAAGGCACACTTTCATTGTTTTTGACACACAGGCTGTTTTACGAAAGGTCATTCTGATTTATCACTAACTTAGGTCAGAAACGGTACTTCGTCTCGACTTGCATCTCCCCGATACTAGTGAGGCTTAACACCCGCACGTGTGTTTCAGATAGATTGTCAGCTCTATCTTCCCACACCTGTGTTTAAGATAGCCAGCTCTATCTTCTTTGACCATGAGGTAGATTGTCAGCTTATCTTCTTTCACCATCATCTGCTGGGTTTTAGGGAGGATTCTTATTTGTTAGAAAAACCTCTTTTGTATAAAAATAGTATTATCTCTTCCCATCACACCTGCTGGGAGTATTTCCCCCAGCCTGTCTGATGCTGGCCGTTTAATTTGGGTTGGTCACCTCTTCTTAAACACTTGTCTTAGCCTCTGGTCCCATCACTACTTTCAAAGTCTATTCTCAAGAATCAAACTCATTTACTGAACACATCGGGTCAGACATGGGCTAGGTTCCCCACGTTTCTGATTTAAGGACTCTGTTCCCCCGGCCCTCATCCCTCTGTGTTCCTAGAAGGTATGACACTGTTGCACACCCCTTCCTCTCCCACCTTTGTCCTTTCCACATTTCCTTTCATTCCTCTTTTCCAGCCCCTTAATAGCAGACGACCCCCAAATTTTGCCTTTACCGGACCCTTAAGCCTTCATGTGCTTTGGATTCACAGGGGGAAAGGGGAAGTTTTCTTAAAATTCAGATTCCACCTCCCACCCAGGGCTTCCTGAATCTGAACTCTAGGGGAGACCCTGGAATCTGCATATTTTTAATTAGCTCCTTAGGCTAATCTTATGCGGCCACACCTGACAGTCATCCTTGGGGCCAGCATCTAGAAAGTTCTGCTAGAAATGTGCTCCTTAGCGGCTCTTTAGTCATCCTCCCACTGCCATCTCGGCCGTCACTGCTTTATTTCAGGTCCTATCTGGCGCAATCACGCTTTGCTTCCGCTGTACAATACGGAAGGTACTGACGTTCCCAGAACCATCACGCTGCTCAAACTTGTGTGTCTTCACATGTGCAGATCCCTCTGTCTGGAATATTCTTCTTCCTCCTCTCTCCTCTTTAACCTGGCAGAACCCAACTAATCCTTCAAACTCAGTTCATGGGCTGTCTCCTTCCAGAAAATCGGCCTGTTCTGGCTCAGCTGCTCGTCCCTCTCGCCCCTGGCTACACCAGGTATTTCCCAGCATCTTTAAGGACCTCCCCACCCAGATCTCCACCTGTCTCTCAATCTCAATGTGGTCTAAACAAAACTTCTCTTCCCTCCAAGCCAGGTGTTCCTTCACAGCTACTCCCTTTCTAGCAGAGGCACCATCAAGTCTTTCAACATCCAAGAACTTTGATATTATCTTTGATGGATCCTTTTTAAATCCCCCTTCCTTTGATACACCTCTAATGAGAGCTAATATCTAACAGACCCCAGCATTCACGCTACAGCTAGACCAATTACCCACAGGCAACAGCTGTGCTGACTGGCTGGCGCCCATGCGCTCTTCTGGTGGCTACTTTGAATATTGACCCTTTCTATTTCTATTCACCATTTCTTCACTCTGCACCCAGGTTATAACAAATCCTAACTGATGCCTCTGTGTCTAGTTTCTACACTCTTCTATTCGCTCTTCCACCCTTAGCCAAATCTTTCAAAAGCATCCCTCTTACCATAGCTTCCCTGCTCAGTGGCCTTCAGCGTTTCCTGTGGCCTGACATACAAGCCTGCAATTTCTCTGCCCAACCAGACCAATCCAGCTGTACTTTTGAAATCCCTCTATCACACACCTCATGTTTCAGGTGGACAGAAAACTTCAGTATGGATAACAGAACCATAAAAATATTTGTTGTTGTTCTTAATGTTATAGAATACATTCTCATTTTAAAGAAAACACATGTGTAAAAAGAAAAAAAACAAAAGATGTGTTTCCCTACCCTGTTATCACCTCCAATCCCATTCTCTCAAGGTAATTACTGACTTGATTTCAATCTTCCTACACCCTTAAGCTTTCTCTAATAAGCTTTTTCCCAGAAGCTTCCTGAGCTAAACCGTCTCAGGTAGGATCCAGTACCATAGGCCATTCAGTGCTTAGGTAATCCCAGGTGTGTCCATTTACAACTTCTTAAGGTTAGATGAAAGCACCACCTCTTCCTAAAGCATTACCTCCTACACCTCTTGTGTGCTCCTAGAACTGGGCCAGATAGGTGCTTATTAAATACTGTGTAAAGGTTGACAGATTCTAGCTTCTTTCTCAAATAGAAATACACAAAATCTCTCTCCAATTAGACCTGCCACCTTTCCTATCTTGGCTCCACCCATCTAGCTCATGCCCCTGTAACTTGGAGGGAGTTGTCAGTCAACCCCAGCTTCATGTGAGCAGGTGTGTGCAGAGCCCAAGCTCCCCACCCTGGGGCAGAAGTGCAGAGAAGCAGGCATGCAGAGAATGAGAGAGAAGGGGTGAAGAAAATGGGGCACACGTGTGTATCTCAGCTGGGGACATAAGATCCTGGGGAAAGGCCTAAACTTTTGCTGGAATTTAAAGGTTTGGGTAACCTCCATTTGACATTCTCCATGGTGTAAAATGGTAGGCTTCAAGATAGCATGAATTCCTATCCAATGCCCTATCCCCAGGACCCTTTCTGTCCCCAAAGCATCTACAGAACACTTGTGAGGATGCCCAGCTACCTCTCCTCTACCTTGGCTAAGCAACCCCTCGCACTAGAGTTTTCTGCTTGTTCCTGCAGCCCCTATTCCCTCCTCTTTCTCTGACCCCACAGGAAAAGCTCCTTTACCAAATGGGAACAAACTGCCTGTTTCAGAGGGGCCTATGCCTTGAGAAAGCTTAAGATACTTTCACTTAGTGGTAGCTGAGCTGGGTTCTAGACGTGCTTGGAGATAAGGAAAGACCATAAGGACAGTGGTGGCTTCAGGTCAACTTTGCTTTCATTTGACAAAAAGGGTTTTTGTGTTTTAAAAAGAAAAAAGGAAAATAACCAAAAGACTAAAAAACCCAGAGAGTCAAGCCCTGGGAATGAGGCACCTGTCTGGAAGCCAAGTTCAAGATTCAGCTTTAGTAAACTAGAATTTGGATCACCTCCCCCGAGACCTTCTGATCAGCTAGGGTCAGGAGAAACACATCTGCCTTCTGCCCTCTCAGGCCAGTGGAACCTGCTGTTCTGAGCACAGAGGTTTCTGGTTCAAAGCAGAAAAGCAAGGATAGGAAGGTTCCCAAGAAAAGGGGGAACAAGGTGCCAAGAATTCCCATGAGTGACTGTAGGAGATAGAGGCCAATCTCAGGCTAAAAGGGTGGAGACACCTACCTTGACACCGCCATCCGACTTCTTGTTCAATAGACTTTTGGCAGCTGTGAAAACAAAGAGGAAAATCAAGTCTCTTACACTGTACCCTTTCTTCAACCTGACGTCTGGCAGCTGGATCCACAAGAGCCTGCTGTGTCTGAAAAGGGGGCCAGGAGTCCCCTGAAACCCCTGGAAGCAGAGCCCTGCCTGGTAGCCCCAAAGCACGAAGGACATCTCAAGCAGCGTCAGACCCTCAGGGTGGCACCCCAGGATCTCCTCTGCCATGGAAGAGGGCTCAGCAGAAACAGGGACACACTGTGCTTAGGAGGAGAAACCACATTCAGTACCAGAGCTGCCTGGTGCACTGGGACCTCCGCCTTCGACAGCTTCCACCCAGGCCTAGAAGCAGAGTGCCAGGGTGAAAGGTGAGGGCTCTGTCCCTAGATGCCATGGAGAGTCTCAGGATGGCCAAGCTGGAAGGATGCAAGACATCTCCTGAGTGTTCTCAAGAAACAAGAGTGTCACAGTTCACGAAGGAGACCAGACGTGAGGACAGACAGACACAGACACAGAGACCAGGACCACCTACAGGAGGGTTTTGCCAGGGGGTGAAGCCTTGACTGGGCAGGTCCTTACCAGGTTTACTGGGTGTCCTGGCTGCCACCCTTTCCTCAGGGTCCACTCTCTGAACCCACTGAGCAGGACTGGGCAGAATAACAAGGTATTAAACAGATTCTAGCCCGCACAGGGTGGTGCGCAAGGCTGATGAGCTCTGTGCAGGAAGGCTGGGAGCAGACAGTAGATGGGAGAGTCTGGGAGGCGTGAGGACATGGAATCAGCTCAACTGTCTGATCCAATGGACTTCGCTGGGTTTGCATCTTAGTTCTACCACTTGCTCGCTGTGTGACCTTGAGTGAGGTACTTAACCTCTCTGAACCTCAGGGTTTTTTTAATCTACAAAATGGGACAAAACAGGGCCTGGGTCACAGGGCAGTGATGGGATCCAGTGGGATCATGCATGAAAAGCACTAAGCAGAGTGCTTGGCACATAGCAAGTACTCAGCACGTTGCAAGTACTCAGTGTTAACTGCAGTCACTATTGCTGCTGCCACTCTTGCCTTTGGGTGGTCATTCAGACCCAAGCTGGGTCTCACCTCTCTACAGTGAGGACAGGGGTCCTTCCATCATAAGAATTCTGACCCTCCCCCAAAATGGCCTTTGGTCCTACCTCCAGTCATGCTGGGGTAATTAGAAAGTTATATCTTTAATATATTTACTACTAGGCCTGACCACCTACTGTGTTAAGTGCTTCACATACATCAGAATTCTCAACTCCAACTGCCCATTAGAATCACTTGGGGGGAGCTTCAAAAAAATGCGTATATAAGCCTATCCCATGCCCTAGGGATTTTGATTTGTCTGGGGTGGAGTCCCAGCATCAGGAGTTTTTACAAGCTGTCTTGTACAGGCAGGGTGGAGAGCCTTCGACATACAATCGTTAATCATCACCATGATATTACCCCACTGGTGAGATGAGAAAACTGAGGCTCGGAGAGCTGATGGGGTTGCTCAGGGTGTGGCAGGGCTAGGATCCAAACCCAGGGACACTGCCTGCACAGCTTCTGCACTCTACAGCCTTTCAGGCTGAAGGCCCGAAATGCCAGACCTCGCAATTTTGAGGGGCGTGGCTTCCTCTGTGGGGTCTCCAACAGTGCTGTTGAAGCCTGGTCCTAGCAGCCCAGGGATAGGGCCGGGCCCACCGTTTGCCGCAGCGTCACAGGGAGGCCAGGCTCTCGGGCCACCTGGAGGAAAGCCTCCTACTGCCCAGCTCCATGTCCCCAGGCTATTGCCTCCTGAGAGTTGGCAAGCGCCCAGCATGCATGGCTGGTTAGGGGGCTCCGTAACACCAATGCGCTCGCAGATGCCAAGTTAGGTGGTCCATCCGGCATGCCCATCTCAGCCCGCAAGCATGGGACTCGCCTCCCTGGTGAGCGGGCCTGGCATGCTGGCCCTCCTGGTGGGGTGGCAGGGAGCCGAGGCAGGCGGTCGGGGAGGACTCATGCCACGTACCTTGCCCGGCCAGGCCGGCGGCGCTCGCGGCAGGCGAGGCGGGGGCGGAGCTCTGCCTGCCAACTGAGGGGATACAGTCTCTCAGTGCACAGAGCCGCCGCAAAGCCACGGGGGCCGGTCAGCAGCGAGCATGCCCCAGCGCGGGGACCCGCGGGCCGCCCACCACAGC